CATGATATAATTCATTGACGGCATCTTTGTTTTTTCATTCATCATAATCATTGCACGTATTACATGCCTCTCGATAAGTTGTATAGAAGGTTTCTTTATGAGACATCAGGAAGAATCAACATTTTTCTTTGTCGAAACAAATATGATGGCCTTGAATATGGTATGTTAGCACAATTTTTAAAATCAAAACTGTTGTCTATGGAGTACTCAATCTCTTATTTCTCAACTCACAGCTCAATTTTATATAGTTCCCTGACTTGCGATTTAGTCTCAGTCATCTTTAATCTTTGACTCGTGATTTAATCTTGATCATTTCTATTATTTTCCTGACTTGCGATTTAATTCCAGTCTCTTTTATCTTCTAACTTGCATTCAATCTAAGTTAACGTCATTTTTTGACTCGCGGTTTATTCCCAATCTTTTTATTCTCTAATTCGCGGTTCAATCATGATCTCTTTAATTCAAAGTCGCAGTTTAATCTCGATAGTTGTTATCTTTGACTCACGATTTAATTCTGATATTTTTATTCTCTGATTCGCTGTTCAATCTCGATCTCTTTAATTCAAAGTCGCAGTTCAATCTCGATTGTTGTTATCCTTTGACTTGCGGTTTAATCCTAATCTTTTTATTCTTTGATTTACGATTCAATCTCGATCTCTTTAATTCAAAGTCGTAGTTTAATCTCGATTGTTGTTATCCTTTGACTCACAGTTTAATCCTGATATTTTTATTCTCTGATTTACGTTCAATCCTGATCTCTTTAATTCAAGTCGTAGTTTAATCTCGATTGTTGTTATCCTCTGACTCATGGTTTAATCTCGGTCCCTTTATTTTCTTACTTGTGATTCAATCCAAGTTAACGTCATTTTTTTTTTAATCCCGATCTCTTTATTCTCTGATTCGCGATTTAATCCTAATCCTTAGTATTCTCTTACTTGTGTTTATTCTCGATCTCTTCATTTTTTACTGGTGATTTAATTCACGTTCAATCCGGATCTTGTTATTCTTGACTCGCGGTATCATCCCGATCACCTTTTTTATTATTCGACTTTCGATGTTCCCTTAGTCAATTTTTTATTCACGATGTCGTTTTCTTTATCACTTGACCTGACCTGTAAAAAAAAAAAAAGAAAAAAAATCCATGACTTGCTTTCGGACAAAATCGTTGTCTTTGACTTTGTTCTATTCTTGATTCTCAGTAATGTACAAAGAGGGTAGCTGTAGACACTGATTTTGTCTGGGTCTACTGTTTCCATTTCAGTTTAATAATAATAATATAATAATAATAATAATAATAATAATAATAATAATAATAATAATAATAATAATAATAATAATAATATTAATATATATATAATAATTAAAAAATAAATTAAAAAAAGAAAAAAATGAGATAGAACCCTAGGGGCTGGTACGGTGTCGCTGCTGCCTCTGTCCAAACCCCCTGTCTACCCTCTGACTAGCTCCCTATTCAAACCCACCTACAGCCACCCTACAGCCATCCAGATTCCATTATTTGAAGCTCTTTAAAATCCTCAACCATTTTTCCCCTTCACTCTCTATGCTCTTGAAAAAAAATGACCCATTCATTCTACCCCTATGAAAACTCTTGAACTTAGATGAACCCCCCCTCAAAATACTCTCAATAGCCCTAGCAGAATCCCTATTCCCACGCATAAAAAACTCAAAATTTCAAAGAACCCCTTCAAATACCCAAAACAAAAAAAACAAAATAGATCTACACAAAATAAAAAAAAAAATCCTTCTCACAGGGAGGAACCTCAGTGCCATAGCCACCTGAAACAAGAAAAAAAAAATCATCAGTTTAAGCCTTCCGAAAATAAAAAAAATAAAAAGAGGAGAGATCAAAAACTTCGAAAGCCAATTTGTGACTATTAAGGCTCTTTCAGCGTAATGAAGGTCGGATTCAGAAAGAGAGCATCAAGAGAATTTCTGACGACTTTTCTGACCTTTTTTCGATCACCGACGCCATCGTCGACGACGACCCACACGACGGCAGCGCAGTGCCTGGTGTCGGATTCTGGTGGAAGCCAGAGAATCCCAAAGCTTTTTTTTTTTTTTTTGGGAAATGAAATGAACTGGGAAAAAAATCTGATTTTTATAGAAAACATAGGGGCAAACAACGTCATTTTGAGCATAGGACCGCGTGTGAACCGAACCCGACCCAAGATTCGTGCAACCCGATCCGACGATTCGCTTCAGCCAGCCTTGAACCGGTTCAGACGAACTTGCTAATAATTAATCTGAACCGCTGATTGAACCACCAAACCGGTCAGACTGGCCAGAATCAGCGTTGGACCAGTCCGGTTCAGGTAAAAAATTTTTTTTTTTTTAAATTTTTTTATACTATTATTTTTGTTATTTTAAGTTTAATATTTATGTATGATAAATGTTTAATTTATTATGATAAATATCTAATTATTTATTTAATAATAATAAAATGAAAACAATATAGGATAATAACTAAAAAATATTAAAAATGTTTAAATAATAATAATAATAATGGAATAAGCTTTTTATTTTCTCTGCCTAGATGTTGAGGGAATAAAAAAATATTTTTCTAAAAAAATAATTCCGCCTAGATGTTGAAAATTATTATTAATAAATTTTCATAAAAAGAAATATATAAGAAATTTTTAATTAGTTTTCAAAATTATAAAAAATTGAACTTGCTTCGAAAATCCGCCTAGATGATAGAGATTTTAGAGATGTTCGCATTGTAATTAAACCCCAAACCCTTAAACTTTAAACCCTAAAACTCTTTACCCTAAAATCTAGTTTCAAAAACTTTAAAGGATACGTATGAAAATCTACATAAAAATGGTTTGTTCCTGAATGCTGCCTAAATGATGGGGTATTTAGGAAACTCCATTTCATTAAGTTTTTCAAACGAGTTCTTAATTCACATTAATAATAAGATTAATAAATAAAAGTATAATAGTAAATTGAGATCTTAAATATAAACAGTCATACCTAAGCTTTGCCTAGATGTTGGAGAGTCGGGGTGATCTCATTATACTTAAGAATCCAATTTTCAAATTGCATCTCATCCTACATAATATTCATTAGCATACATACGTTAGCATATTATCATCAATAATTGTCTGCATTATTCTCTCTTTAATTTACTATTCGATGACAAAATATTTTATAATAAAAAATAATAATAACTTTTTTTTTAAAAAATTGTGATATTACAAAATAAATAAAAGTAACATTCCGAAAGCAATAATTCTTAGTATTCTGCCTAGATGTTGGAGAGTTACTAACAATTATTTTCTATAAAGATTGTTATTTCATTTTAAGGATTATTGTGTTAAATCTTAAGTGAAAATAGTTATTTTAAATTCTGCCTAGATGTTAGAGAATTTTAAGATAATTCTTTAACTTAAAGATTTTCTCAATATTTCTAAATAAAAATTTTAGCAGAATTTTATTTTTCCAAATGAAGGGAATTAGTGTTAAATTTTAAATTAAAACTATTTTTATTCAACACCGAAAATAACGCGTAATTAAATGGTATCACTATATAGGCGTTGTGGGGGGCGCTAATCATTTTCCACACGTAATCGACTCCCGGATCCAACTTAATTTTTTGTAGACTAAAATTTATTTTTTTTTATAAACTTTAAATCCGTTTTTATAATTTTATTAACAAGATAAACTTTTTGGTGACCAATCATACTCTAACAAAGATTAATGACGATTCACTTTTATTTATTTTTATTTTAAAATTTATTTATGTCTGACGATCTCGAAACCGTTACAAAGGACCTTTACATCAAATCATGGAGACAAGCCCTGGATTTCACAAGCTCAAAGATGATGCTTTGCTTTCTCTGTTTTCTTTAATTCTTTTTTTTTTTTTTTAAATTAAAAGGCAACAAGACACACAATACCAACTAAGTATTAATTATAAATATGAATATGATTTTCCCATTAGGGGTTCACCTTCACCAAGTCAAAGAAGGGATTTATTGCAGAATGCAGCCAAGAAAGAAAAAGCCACCATCTTTCATCTCCTTTCATTCTAACTCAATCCAGCCTATTTATCTTTCCAGGATTGCTTTTTTTTTTTTTTTTTCCCACTTGACCATATTAGCCAAGTCGAATATTGTTTTTTCCTCTTGTTTTTTGACCACATGACCGTAAAGACTTTTGTTTTTATTTTTGGCTATTATAGTACTATACTCTTGGAATATTATAAAAACCATACAAGTTAATTTTTATTAATCTTTATGATATTTTTCATTTAGCGTAATAGCTAGGTTAATTTCATAAATAGATTAATTTATTCCCTTTTTATTATATAAGTGCTTGAATTATAATTCATCTCAAGTTTTATATATTGGATTAATCTAACTTTGATATATACCGATTCACGTAGCATGCATAATTATGATGTACTTTACATTTAAAGTCAGGAATTTGGTTTTATTTTTGATATATGTATTGGGGAGGGATATCTCCAAATTTTATTTGCACTTAAAATTTCTTTTGACTATCTTAAATGTGTTTTTTTTTTTAATCAATTTGGAGTATTCAGGTTTTATTTTATCGAACCCTATATATATAACAGAAAACAAGGTTCTCTCTTTATCAATTGAAGTGGACAGACATAAGTTTTTGACTCAGTGATTATTATTCTTATTAAAGAAGATTAAAAAACCTTGTCAGTAATAATAATTTGTTCCCAAAGAGACTGAAATCCACGATTAGAATTTTTTTTGTAGAGTTTTTCAAATACCAACACCTTTTGTGTTCTTAAAAACAAATAAAAAAGGAGCTCAGTAAGTGAATAAGAGAGTGTGAAAATGAATGTGTACGTACACTCTGAACCAAATGCCAAATCTTTTTAATTATAAGAGTTGGGCATTGAGGGTATTTCACAAACAGGACATTATAACTTTTAGCCTCGTTATACAAGTTCCTGGAATGCACAAAAAATTTGTCTTTCAACTTTCACATATATACTCCGCCACTAATTTCCCCATTATTTCATCTTTTTTTTTTATCTGTTCTCTTGTTACTGTATAGAAAAACCATAGTTGGTGCTCCGGCTGGTTCATGGATATTGATCCCTTCTGGATTACTGGGGGGTGGTTTCATATTTGTCATAACAATTTCATGGCAACTGCTAACAAATCAATCTCTGAAACCTCATCAAAGTCACAATATGCTGGCCATGCCCTACTGCTCTTTCTTGTTCTTCTCCTGATTTCTCCTCTCTTTGCTCGTCCAGCTTATTTCTCCAAGGTTCCCATTTATTCCTCTTACAGGCAACTTTTCTCACCTTCTTCCCCATCATCAGCTCAAAAAGCAGCCAAAAATTTGCACCCTTTTTCCACATCTTCGACCCCAGCTACTACCCACACAAGGACTACCAGAGGAAGCAGTGCTGCTACAGATCGACAGTTCAAAGCAGCTGCTCACGAGGTGCCGAGTGGACCAAATCCTGAATCCAACAAGTAAGCAAAAGCATCATCAAATTTTCACCAGCATTAGAGGCATCCATTACCCTCGTTCAGAAATCTCTCTTCGTTCTTTTTTTCTAATTTTATTTTTTTGGTCATGCTGCAAGATTGATGTATATAAAGACTATATAGCAAGTAGTGGCAGACTAGTTGTAATACTTTGAACATTTTTTCTCAATTTTCACTTTGCCTGGATTTGTTACACTGTTACATGCATGGAAATATTGATACTTTTTATATGATATATTTATATATGTAAGACATTTATCTAAAGACAAATAGAAAAAGGTAGTTGTATTTGGTTTTGTATAGATGTAGGAGTTCACTCTAAGAGAAATATGCTTCAGTTCTGATATAGAATTAGTTGCAGTCTTGCATAGTTGTGATTTTCATTTTAATTGATGAGATCACTGAATTATAATTAATTAATTACCTAGATTTTTTTTTTGTTTTTAATATTTGAGTATGTTAAATATTGAATCTGATAATTAAAATTTTAATATTTTATTAATAAACTAATATTCTATTAATAAATTATACAATTTCATAATATACTTCTTATTTGTGTTTAATAAAATAAAATAAAATTATTAAAATTAAAAATTTAAGATTTTATTAATAGTTAGACTGGTAGACCAATTTGCTTGTTCTTGCAATTAATCTTCTAGTGATTGTACTTCTCATAGAAATTAATCTAAAGAAAGTATTGTAATTTTCAATAGTTAAAAACTCAAAAGCAAAACTCCCCTTTCTCTCCCATGTGAATTAAACCGTATAAATTTGTCTAAGCACATAGGAATCTTCTTGGATGAATTATCTGAATCTGGATTTTCCAAAAGCATATCCATCCAGCAGTTGCGTTTTCAAGCAAGGTTATCAAGAGAGAGTGGCGCTGAATGTCGACAAAATGGGACATTGATAGTGGGGGTAGTTTCTTTCTTCCTTTTCCTTTTGCTTTTTTCAAGCTTTGGGGGAAATTATTCTGATTAAAATGGGACACTGATTTTATTTTTTACTCATCTGTCTTGTCAGACACAATGCCCAAGAAGTCTGAAACCGAAAAGTCATAAGATATGATTGATCATCGCACTGTTTACTACTAGTATTGAAATCATCTGTATAATTAAATACATCACTTACTAATAACCATATAACCAATATAAACAATGGTGATTCTTTAATGTAATTTTTTTTTTATTCATAGGAGAGTAAATGTTTGTACAAAAAAAAAATAATGAAATTAAAATTTATGCTCGTATATATTTTTTAAAGTTTTTTAATTGAAAGACATTTTCAAACAAGCATATGTCCCTTTTGTCAAACAAAAGTATATATTTTTTGTTATTAAAGGCTGCAACCTAAAATAAAAAATTACTAAAACTTAAATTATAAATATGTTAAATATCATTTAATGATTGTATAAATTAAAATTAAAATTTAAAAATAATAGTTAAAATTAAAAAAAATATTTTTTGATTACTTGCTATTAAGGGAAAAATTACTAATACTTCAAATGAGCACACGACAAAAAAAGACTTTAATTCATTGTAAATATTATTTTATAATTAAATTTTTAAAAATCTAATCATAAAATTACATAGTTTAATCATAATAAGACACTCACAATATAATGAGAATTTTTCCTACCGCATTCGGAGGGGTCCCATATCTAAGCTACCAGCTAAAAATGAAAGCCATTTCTCCTTTAGGTTGACAATAACATGCAACTGCCAGACACCTTTGAATGTATCCTTGAAAATGTAAAATACTTCACATGCTACAAATTTTATCTTAGTATGCATCCTTGGACTTTTAAATCATTTTGCTGATTTTTTTTGGCTTACTCTTACCTTAGATGCTGCCGAGTGATTAAACAATATTTACAATTAATTTCTACAAATTAAGTTATGGTCAATTAATCTTCTTCTTGCATATTAACCTCAAGTTCAGATTCTAGCAAAGGATAATTTTTTTTTTTTTGTCTGTGTTATTAATTAAAGGAGAGAAGAGGGGATAAAAGGAGGATCGGTATACCAAATGCCCTTTAATTTCTTTTATTTTTTGTATTAATGCCTTTTAATTTCGTATACTAATTCAATCACTTTTCCTTGTTCATGTGTTCTTAGTTAGTAGATTTGTCTAAAAATTAAATTTTTTGTCTAATTCGATTGGCCAACTTGATTTGGATCAAATCTTACAAAATAATTTTTTTAATCAGAACTTAACTTAATTTAATACAAAACATTATTGAATTAATAAAAAGTAATTTTAATTTTAAAATATATTTATAACGTTAAAATTTTAATATTTATTTTTAAAAAATGAGTTGAGGCGAACCATGGACGGACGTTTTGGCTTGGCCTAACCTATTAACAAGTCTAAAGTCCCTGGCATATTAACTATGGCATATTGCTTGCTCTTGCCCTTTCTCTGTCTTTAGGAGGTGACAACTTTCTTTCACTCACCATATATGAAATATATACAATATATACATTGGTAGTCTATAATTTTATTTCTCATAGGAGAGTAGTTTTAAACTTAATTCTTAAAAAAAGTACTTAGCACACATGGAATCCACCTTAAAGATAAATGACAAATCATGCTAACAGAAAAAAAGCCAAAATTCACAATTTTTAATAAGAAGGAACAAACTGAAATCCTCTCCCAAGAGCTAGGGCTCTTTCTCTGTCCAATCTCCTTTTCCAAAATATATATATTTTTAAACATTTGTGAAGAATAAAATATTTAAAATTTCGAATATATTTACTTTTACAAAAAAAAAAAAATCATAAAATCCTAAACTTAAAATCAAAACCTAAATTTATAAAGACATTTTGGAGTAGGGGAAGAGATGGAGGGAGGGATCTCATAGCATACTAATTCAGTAAAATTTGAAGAGCACTTTTTGGGCAAGAAGTGAATGGGCAAGCAAATAACAAAAAAAGAATGAAGGCTAAAATATTAAATTAAAAACTCTGAATTATTTTATTTTTTAAATAAATTTTTATATTTTTATTGTAATCAAATAAATTTTTATTTTTTATTTATATTTAAATAAACTTTTATTTCAAACAAATTAATTTATGTTAAGAATTTATTTAATTATAAATTAAAAACAAATGGTTTATTTGGATATAAATTAAAGGTTAAAGATTTATTTGAATATAATAAAAATATAATAATTTATTTAAATAAAATGATAAAATTCAAAAGTTTTTTTTGATGTTTTAGCCAAAACAAAAAAAGAAATCATTAGAGGAAGTTGGCAATTCTTGTAAATATCAAGAAACTTTATTGGATTTTCAAAGAAAGCTGCCAAGATAATAAAAATCATCAACTAGCCCAAATAAATTGTTTTCCGTCCAAATATTTGTTTTTTTTTCCTTTCTTTGCTATGCCTTTTATGTTGGCAAAAGAAAATAAAAAAAAAATGAAGGTTTGAACGAAGTATGAATTTGGTTTCAGGAGAAAGGGAGAGGGGGATGGACAATGGGAGGAAGCTTGAAAGCGTGAAAGTAATTTCTTTTAAATTTTTTAATATGATATTTATATTTTTAATACTGTTAACTTATATGAATAATGCAATTAATCATACAATAACACGTGACATATTTTATCATGTCATCTTGTCAGATGGTGTATTCGGCTTGAAAGATAGGATATTGTTGAAAAGAGTTGAGGGAAGGAGAGAGTAAGAAAGAAAATAAAATTGAAAAAAAATTAATTTTTTATTTTTTTGAAAAATAACACATGGATACCATGTAAACTTCATGCATTTATTTTTTAATAAATGATAATGTGATAAATTATTTGACAAAATAAACCATATATTATATTATAATTAATTAACAATCACGCCATTCATTTTATTTAATGATATTAACTTTGAATTTCATTTGCCTAATGAAATTATAATACATGTACCACGTTATAGATAAATATATTAGTAGCCAAGTAACGGGGTTTACCTTGGACTGTTGATTGGGTACTCCACTTTATAAATACGAGTTTCATGTGGATTTGGAAGATTTTTTATATTAATCGGAGTTTCAGCTATAAGCTTAGATAAAAAAAAGGCCAAAAAAAAAAAAAAGTGCCTTAGGGGACTCTGGCCCATACGGGGCTAGCTCCTTAGGCCGAAGCACCAATGTGATCTTGCTTTTGTTTGAATAATCCTCGATAAACACCCAAATTTGATTAACTCATTATCAAGCTATTCAAATAACAATTCGAACCAAATTAGAGCTTTATGGTACTCCATCCGAATGGTTCATGGGGTTTATTGATTTTTTTTTATATTATATATAATACAAATTTTTTATTTTCATATTTCAATTAAAATTTTATCAAATTCTTATTTTAAACTCAAGCTCCTTATATAAATTATTGGTAATCGAATTGAATCCAAATCATCGAATAGCTTTATTATTTTTTTAATTGAGCTCAATCACAAATAAATAAAAGCTCAACCAAACTCAAACCTCAAGTTTTTTAATTGAGTTGAATTGAACCTGTATCAACTTAGTTCAACTCAATTACACCCTACTCTTTGACATAGAAAATATTTTACAAAGGAAAAAAAATCTTATTCTTACAATATACATATTGAAGATATGAATGTTTAATTTTAAGGCATTTCTGGTGGTAAAATTTTAGAAATAAGATAGTAAGAACTTGAACCAGGCCAATCCCAACATTTTGGTTGAGAATCATATGGAGTTGGGCCCATCGGCCACTTGGCTGCAATAATATTGATATATGTGTAGTCTTCTCATTTCCTCTGCCCCCTTAATTTGCCGTTTCTTCTTCCATATCATAGAATAAACAGTACTAAACTGTCTCAGCTAGCTCGGTTCGTACAGTAAATTCGACGGCTGTAACCAGGCAAAGACCGGTTACATTGCGGTACAAATTTGTCGGTAGAGTTAGTAAATCTTGCATGAGTAAAACAGAAACATCACAGCTTGCTTGACTAGTTTTATTGGTGCACATTTTTATACATAAATATCGATCGTTTGTTTCGTTACTGTTTGTTTTAGGCCTATATTTTTCAATTCCTGAACGTAAAATTTTCCCAAGGAGTTATATATATATATATATATAAGATAGTAAAATTAAATATATAAAATTTAAGTTTAGTAATTATAAAGAAGTGAGTGTTAGTGTAATTAAGTTAAATGATGAAGTAATATTAAAAGCAATTATTTTTTATATTTGAGATCAATTATCTAGTGCGAAATTGAGAAAGAAAAAAATATAAATCATAGGGTTCAAGTAGGATAAATGAGGTGGTAAAGTGCGTAAAGTGTGTTATATGATCGTAATATACCTTTAAAATTAAATGTGAAGTTGTATAAAATAATTATAAGGTCTGCATTATTATATGAGACTAAATGTTGGGTTGTTATGAAACAATATGATAAAAAAGTGAGCGTAGCTGAAATGTAGATACCTAGATGAATCTGTGGGAAGACTAAAAATTAAAAAATTAAAAAAAAATAAAAAGATTCAAGAAAAATTAGGAGTAGTTCAAAATTAGAAAAAGATGAGAAATGATTGTTTGATATGATTTGGATATGTGAAACATAAGCTTATATGTACATCAGTTAAGAGAAATGAGTTTCTAAATTTGGAAGAAATCAAAATTTTTAGAGATAGATCATGAAAAATGTGGATTGAAATAAGAAATGATACGAGGATTAAGGAAATAGATGAAAAAATATATATTTTTTTATATAAATGAGTGACACAAGAATATTTAAAACTGCAACCTAACATGATTTTTTTTTTTGGCCTTTTATATAATCGACCTTAAAGTTATGAGATATAAAATTTAATTTTTTGTTGTTGTTGTTGTATATAAAAGAGATTGTAATTAGAGAAGTAATTGTAAATAATAAAATTTGAATGTCAAATCTATTATATATAAATTTTAAAAATGACTGCATGAATCGATTGGAATAAAATGTGGATACAATTAAGACAGTTGGCTCAGCATTGCATGAAGCAAAATAATGGAGTAGATGTTTGGCCATTTCCTAGAGGTTGTTACTTGTTACTCAGTTGATGCAGTGCAGCGAGTGGAGGTTGAATGGCGCCATATATAGATTACTTTGATTTTAGTATTAGATACCAAAGTATTCTGTACGTGATCTCTTGGATGGCAGTTCTTAACAGATATTCTACCAAAGACAGACATGCATCTTGGGGATAATCAGTGGATGAATGTTGTTTATTTTGTCACAGAGAGAAGGAAACCGGAAACGCTCTATTATTTAGTTGTGGTTTTTCACAAGAAGTTTAAACCCAAGTTGACTGCAACATTATGCTTTATGACTATTAATGTCAGCATTTATTTAATTTGGAAAATGAGTGACTTGAACCCGGAGATCAAAACTGATTCTACTATACTTGTCAAGTAAATTAAAGCACTAAATATGGTAGCTAGACGGCCAGTGTAGTCCATTTTCTAAAAAAATAAATGTGACCAGGTTCAATTGCTTCATTGCAGCAGCATGCAGGGCTAAGGATATTATCCAGATCGCATGCCAATGCCATGCCTCTGAATTCTTTATCTTTACATTTGCCATTGCGTATCCACAGGTGGGTGGCATTTGATTACATGTACTTCATTTAGATGATCGATAAAAAAAATATTTTTACTATGTCATTTTAGAATTGAACAAAACTGAACCTGATAATTTCCTTGAATAATCTTTATATTCTCAAAATTATCATTAATATGCAATTAAGCAATTAATGTTTAGACACAAAGAAAACTAGATTAGTAAATTTTTATTTGAAGGTAATAGATTACAATCTTACAAATTATTCTCATATGCATGCATGTATGAAGAAATAAGACAATTAATAGATTTTACAAACTCAACTAGTATATATATGATCGATCCTATAAGCATCAATGACAGAAGAAGAAGTTTCATTGAGGCAATGATCATAGGAATTAATCTCTAATTTAGCATTTGATTAAACAAAAGCAAGGAAAAGAAAAAAAATTCATAAACAGCCAACTATGGATATTTGTAATGAAATTATTAGGCTTTTTTATTAGTACTTAGTAATTTGTTCATGCAATGAGTACTATTAGTGTCCACCACCACCGCCGCCACCACCAAATCCAGCATCCCCATGAACACCAAAGCTGCCACCTCCACCACCTTTAAGTCCACCACCTACACCTCCACCTTTGCTAAATCTGCCATCGGCTCCAACCCTTAACTCAACCAACTCCACCACCACCACCAAACCCTCATCCACCTCCAGCACCACCACCACCAAGGCCTTCACCACCTCCTGCACTACCTCCAAAACCATCACCTGCACCACCGCCAACACCACTTACTGGGCCTCCACCACTACCATCGAGCATTCCACCTCCAAAACCACTTCCACCACCAATTCCACCATCGGTACCAATGCCACCACTTCCACCAAGCCCACCACCTAATCCCCTTCTAGCACCTCCACCAAGCCTATGGTCACCACCACCACCACTTAATCCACCTCCTGCACCTCTACCAAGCTTGTGGCTACCACATAGCTCACCTCTTGCTCCACCAACAAGGCCACCTCCACCTAATCCAACTCTTGCACCACCAATAAGGCCACTTCCACCACCTAGTCAACCTCCTACTCCTCTACCTACTCCTTCTCATACACCACCACCTGTAAATACCTAATTTTGTTCGAATATGTTTTAGTCAATTGTAATACTTTAAAAATCGAGACTTGAGTGTTTTACAATATTTTTAGACTTTACAAAAATTTCATGATTTTTGAATAAATTGATTCTTAGGTTGATATAAGAAAAGTAGGAAAAATCAAAGAAAAAGTCAAATGTCAACTTAAAAATTAACTTAGTCTAACTTGTTCAAATTTGATTGAAAATTGTTTAAAACTAGGTCCTATTTTGGTCATTTTGTGATAATTGAATCAAGTCATTAGATCCTTAAAGATTTTAAAGTAAATCTTGAGTTTTGAGCAAAAATGAACATTTTGACCAAAATACTCTTGATGTGAGTGTGGGTCAAATTTGTCCAAATTGGTCAAATTCACTTATCTAGTCAAGTGTTGTCAAAGCTTGATGTTTAGAAAGAAAACCATGGAAAAAAGGAATTTTAAGTTGAAATGACCAAAATGCCTTAGCCAAACTTGGTTAAACTTGGGTCAACCCTTTAGAATTTGCAATTGACTAGGATTATTAAGGCTTAATATTAATAAAATTATGATTTGGATTCTGAAACAAAAATCTTGATGGATAAAAAAAAGTGAAATTATAAAAAATATTCTTTAGGATATTTTCATAATTTAACCTTTTTAGAATCAGTTCTTCATGAAAAGTTCTAAATCATAATTAGATATTATTTTATGATTCTTGGTTCAATAAAAGTCATGATTGCACCTCAAAAGGAGTAAAAGTATAAAACTGCCCTTTAGAGCTTTTTTGCAATTTCACTTTTTTATGGTTATTTTTGTCAAGAGTTTTAGATCATAAGTAAATATTATTATATGAATTATAGTGTAATAAAATCATGAAAATCATTTAGTGGAGCATAGTGTTTAAGGAAATTCATAAAACAAGGCCTTAATCACATAAAAGCGTAAATTTATCTTTTCTTATAGGGACAACTGCACTAAGTGTCAAAATGTGTGCTGTATTTCTTCATAGCCTTTGCTTCAAAATGAACTTAGATCTAAGGGTCTAGATTGCATTGCATGGCCACCATGCTTGTCGGAAAAAGACAAAACTACTATAACCTCGTTATAACATATCGATCCAGAGACTCGATCGTCGAATGTCAAAATTTAAAAATCATGAAAAACACAGGAAGCCATCATTTATCTTCTTTAGGGTGTGATTAGCCATCCAAAAATTTTATCTTTTAATAAAATAATAAAACATGTTTAAAGCTTTATTAAAAAATAATTTTGGTATATGAAAATAGATTGAGTTCAGAAATCGGTTATGTGTGTGAAGGATTTGCACCCCCTACAATACGTACAAAATTAGTACCAATTAATTATGCAGTATTTATAATTTTGGACAAAAATGGTTTTTATAAAAAATTCAATTATAATTCCTTTCATTTTTTAATAAATGAAATTAGTTTTTTTAAAAAATCTTTATTTAGAAATATTATGAAAATCTTCAAAGTAAAGGAATACCTTCAAAGTCCCTAACATAAGGGCAGAATTTAAAGATAGTCTTTTAATTTAAGATTTATCATAACATTCATTCTAAACTAATATAATAATACTCTTTGTAAATAGTAATTATTGATGACTCTTCAACATCTAGGCATAGTACCAATAATTATCTTTCACAAAATGCTATTTTAATTTCATTTGTTCAAAACTAAAAATTAAAAAAAAAACTTTTTATGTAGTAAAAAAAATGAAAAATAATATAACTAATATTAAACATTCATAACTAGAGCAAACATATAAATACATATACATTATAAATGAACACATTAATCTAAAAGTGAAATATATGCCAATGATGATCAAATATGAATTTAAGAATCGAATTTTCAAATATAAAGAGATCGCCTGAACTCTCTAACATCTAAGCAAAGTTTGGATGCGACTTTTTATATTTAAAATCTCATTCTATTATTTTTATATTTGTTAGTTTAACAAAATGAATTTATTCTAAGTTGTGAAAATGTATGAAAATTCTTAATAAAATAAAATTTCCTGAATACCCAACATTTGGTAGCATTTGGGAATAGATTATTTTATAAAGGGTTTTTCATGCAAATCTTTAGAAATTTAAAACAAGTTTGGGATTTTGGATAGGTTTGGGTTTAAATTTTAAGAATTCATGAACCTTTCTAAAAGTTTTTAACATCTAGGCAGATTTTCGGAGCAAGCTTGTTTTTATAATTATTCTAAAAATGAATTTTATATTCTTACATATTTCACATATATTTCTTCTTTCTTTAAAATTATTATTACTATTATTCTTGACATTAGTATTATTATTATTATGCATAAATTTAAAGTGCACGAAAAAAATACCAAATATAAATTTAAGTATGAAAGATTAAATTAAAACGAGCATGAGAATCCAAACAATAAGAGAATTAGTAATGCATAAAATTAAATTTACAATTAAATTTAAACAATCATAAAAAAAAATTGCATAGGTATAATTAAAATTAAACACGCAAATAAACTTTATTAGAAACAAACTTTAAGTTGTATATTTTAGAATTTTATTTATCACAAGATTCCAACTAAAGGGGTTTTCAAAATTACCACCCTACTTTTTATTAATATAATCATATCAAGCCAAAAGGAAAACATAAAATCCAATTGCTTTATCACCATGGTCCCCACGTCTTTTATAGAAAGCTTTGTTTTCTTCTTCATATGGCTTTCTCTGTTTAATATATTTTTAGCCTCTACTTATTTCAACAAAGCCTAATTTTCTTTTCCTTGTTGGCTTTTTTTTTTATTTTTTATTTATTATTCATTGTTGGGGGGGTTTTTTAAAGCCATAGCTGCCATTTCCCTTTCATCCTCTTAAAAAAAACCATGCAAAATACTGACTAAAGCTAGATCAAACACTATATTGATATTCCAATCATTAAATCAAAAATGAACATAGCAAAAAGATTGGACACTAGTTCGATCAAACTAACACACTTGCGTCAAAGAATGGGTTTGAACTCAATGGAAATGATTTCTTATCCCCATTAATAAACAAACCTGCATGCAAAAGAGGTTGAGCCAATACACATGGAAAGGAAGAAACTTTACACTTCCACGGGCATATTGCATGCTGAAAATGAACTAAGCATGCAAAAAATATCATATACCAGGTAATATAGATTGAGGATGAAGTTTTGAAGCTTTATGAACCAAGAAACCCTCATGCAAAAGAGGTAAAGCCAGTATACATGGAAAAAAATAAACTTTAAACTTCCATGGGCATATTACATGCTAAAATCTAACTAAGCACGCAAAAAAATCATATATCATAGATTGATGATGAAGCTTTGAAGCCTTATGGAGAGACAAAAAAAAAAGTAAAAAAAAAAAAAAAACAAACCTTTAGACTCCTAAAACTTTTTCTTTCTTTCATTTACTGGTGATTTTAAATGCATGAAGGATGAAGCTTTCATGACCGTGAAAAAGGTTGGAATTAAGCCATTTGCAATGATAAAAAAAAATTATTTTTTTATTTTATTATTTTTTAAAAATTGAAACAGTAAGCTTTTATTTCTTAAAAAAAAAAAAACAAACATTATTTTCATACCCCAAACATTATGTGAAAAGGAACAACCAAGCTAATGTAAACATGAAAGTAATTATGAGCTTGAAAGAAGATCAAAGAAGCTACCTTTTTGGTTTTCTTAAAGTTTTGGCTATCTTTGATTTCAAGCAAATCTCCTCATTTATTGTTGAGGTTTTCCTTTCCTTTTTACACTAGGTTTTTTTTTTTTGTGTTTTATCTTTTTTTTAAAGATCTCTCTTTCTTTTTTTTAGCTCCTTCCTTTTCATTTTTTTCGTGACCAACTGACCTTCTCGATTTGTAAATAAGAAGACTTTAATAATCTTTTTTTTTTTTTATGAATATAAGCCCTTGGATCAAATCTCATCCAAGGGCTAAAATTCTTCCTTTTTTTGTTTCAATGAACAAACTTTAGCAATTGGATCAAGATTCAATAAGAGATCCACCGGTCCACATTCTTTACTTCAAAGGTTGGATTAGCACCTACACCATGTGAAAAGATCATTTTACCTTTAGTACAAAGTTTTCAATTTTTGGACCATTTCCTTAGAAATCATTGTTCCCATGTTTATTTTTAAAATTTTAAAACCCCAAAAATCATGAAATATTATAAAATTGTGAAAAGTTTCATGAAATCTAGGCTCGAAAAGGCCAAATTATGAAAATACCTCTAAGGGGTATTTTGGTAATTCCGTATCTCTCGAGATACTGTTATGATTTCAAATGCATTGAAAATCATGAAATATTTTAAAATTGAGATTTCAAAAGTTTCATGAAAATCTAAACTCGAAAAGGTCAAATTATGAAAAATACTCCTAAAAGGTATTTTAGTAATTTTGTACTTCCCCAAGTGAAATAAAAATTTTTAGTGTTTTAAAAATTACCAATTTTAATTTTAAACCACATTGATTCCAATTAGGTTGTGAATTTTGAGAATTGACTCAGTTCTATCCATTTTGACCAAGTTTTGTGTAATTTTGACTTTGTTTGACTAATCTTAACTTTATTGATCAAGTTTGATCAGATTTGACCTGAGTTGACTTTGGATCTCTAAATGGGCTAATTTGTGAGCTTTTTATGGGTTGTAAATGGTCTTTTTAAATGGTTTATTCAATTGTCCTATATTACTAGTTTTGACCGATATTCATAAATGAGCTTGTGTCAATCATGTTAAAAAATATTCTAGATAAAATTTAGTGTCTACAGTTGTCCCTCTTTGTATATTTTAAAAATTAGAAATAATGTCTCAGAAATAATGCAAAGACATAAATAATAATTTTGTTCAGATGATGCTTTCAAGTGAGAGAAAAAACCCTAGTTCCATTCCTTTTCTTTTTTTATTTTTTTATTTTGAAAAATAAAAAA